ATTCCAGGGTTTTCCTGGAGGAAAAGCGATCACAATCTGGCCTTTGTTATCCAGCTTATTCTCCAAGAGTTCCTACTTGAGGGCCCCTGGAGCAGATTCTTGGAAGAGCTCCATTTTGCACCCCAGCCAGAACGCTCCGAGTTTCCGTATATTATTAGCACACAATGGAGCAACGTCAGCCCGCGCTGGGAAGGGCCCCTGGCAGCCACAATGCTCCCAGCCCCAACCCCACACCGGGCAGGGGAGAGGGGCTCCCTTCTGGGGAAAATCCACCTCCTTCTCCTCCTGCACGGCCCTGGTGTTCAGGGACAGGAAAGGCAGGAGGCAGAGCAGCAAAGCGCAGTCAGGCAAAGGCACGGCGTCAGCCAAAATCCAGGCCAAGGGCTCTGGGAAGAGTTGACCTCAGCACCAGCTTGCCCTCAGCAGCTTTTTGGCTTGGGCTTTGCCAAATGACATGCCTGGTCTGACAGTGCTAGATGGGTTTGGTCGGAGGGCACAAGGAAACTTGATTCCTGTGAGTCACTTGCAATCTCTGCCACCACCGCTATGGGAAACATGGATGTGGGCTGCTGCCAATGCACAATCTGCATTGAAACATGCTGTGTGTCTCCAGGCCCCTCTTCCTTGGTGCTGCTCAGAGCTTTTGGCCTCAGACCACTGCTGCATTACAGACTCCAGCTGCTCAAGGAAAGAGAGAAAAAAAAAAAGAAAGAAAGAAAGAAAGAAAAATCTCCACATGCAAAAATTCAACTTTTTGTAAGAGAAGCCCCACAACTCCAAAACTAAAAATGCTTGCCAGCACAGCGAGCATTTGCCAGCACATTTTTGATTTTTTGCCAAAATATTCTAGCCAAAACTTTGGAGAGAAAAAAAAAATAAAAATACAACAACCCAGAATTGTCTATGGAAAGCAGATACTTCTCACGAAAATATTCATTTAGTCAAATCCCCAGGTTTCTACTGAAAGTCAGCATCAGTGGAAAATGCTGACGAGCTCTATTATTGGCACAGCTTTAATTTTCCTTTGTCTGGAACAGACACGGAGAGGACAGCATCTGTCAAATGTAGTCTTTTGACTTATGTTATTATTTAAAATGGTCTGTTACTGTATGTGGTCTCCAGGAGAGGTTCAACCCCATTACGGCGCTGGGTGCTGGGTGCACACACGGTTTCCCTTCTAGAGGGATTATAATTTGAGCACAAATCCTGGAGAAGATAAATAGTTGGATTATAGGGTAATTTCACATTGGTCCCAATCAGCAAAGGGACGCTGTGCTCACCCCTGCACCTGCTCTTTATTTGGTGCTTTGTTGCTCAGCCATGTCCCAGCTGCTGGGCTCTGAGCTCCCCAGGAGATGCAGGAACCTGCCCAGCTCTGCGGGCAGCTGCAGAGCAGGGAGAGATGGGTCCCTACCCATTTCCCTACCCTTCCACTGCAATCCTGCTTGTTCCTCTCCATGGATGCTCTCCCAACCTCCCTTCTGCAGACTCATATTGCACTGACCACATTGAGCCCATCCATTCTCCTGCCTTCCCTGACATGTGTGCAATCCTACGTGCCTGTCTACCAGGCTCCCTTTTACCCCAGCCTCATCGCTTCATGTCCTGCCCAAGCTGACACAATCCCTTTAGGTACAAGGGAGCAGTTAAGAGAAGGATCTGCACTGGTTTCAAATAGTTTCCAGCATTGGTCACCCCCTTCTGTAAGAGATTAAAAAGGCATTGCCAAGAAGGGAGTGAGGGAGAAGGAGAGCACAGGAAAATAAATAAATAAAGGTATATAGTTACTTTTGGTTAGTCTCTGTGCAGTCCCATCCCAGGGCGCCGTGCTCTGCGCTCAGTTGAGGTATTAGTCACTTTTTCCATTAGAAGCTCTTATTCTATGGGGATTTATAATGTATCTGTAAAATTGTCTCCAGGCTTTGCTTGGCATCTGAGCTCTCGATTCATGGACAGAATGTAAAGAAACTGCAGTTGTTTGATTTACTGGGACAGGCACAGGGAGAGAGGGATTTTTTCCACGCTCAGCTTGGTGGAAAGAAATTCATGTAGTGCTTTCAGGACATGATCACTTATTACTCTAGAAAATACACCAGATGGGTGCAATCTCAGACCAAGTTCACAAGCATGGTCTTCCCCACAACCCGCTCACAGGGAAAGCCTTGCCCTTTTCCAAGCCTCATTTCTACAAGGGAAAAGGGCACAAACTCCGGGATCCAAACACCCTGGAGCCTCTCCCATCCGCAGGGTGTTCCTGGCCTGCCTGTTCCCATGGACTTCTGCTGTAGACAGGGATTGGTTGACAAGGGCAGGATCGAGTGCAGCAACACACAGCAGGACCTGAACCTCCTTGCAGTGCTGATCAGATAGGCAGCAGGAGCTTGAGGTGGACGTTGCAGGCAAACAATAACCTAAAATTGGAACGTGGCAAATTACTTATTCAAACGCCAGCCTTCCTCTCCCCCTCTTGATTAGCAAACCGCTGGGGAGCCAGCCCTGATTTTCTCCAGACAGTCGTGCTCAGCTCCATTCCTTTTGCTCAGCCCTGAGCTGCCCACGGGGCTGCAGCCCTTGTTGGTATTCACACTGCGCTGCAGCCCTCCCTTCCCTTGATGGGCTGTTCTGCTCTCCAGCTGGATCACAAACTTTTTATCTGCATGCACAGCAGTGATTAATAAGTTCAGTTTCTATCTTTTTTTTTTTTCTTTTTTTTTTCTTTTTTTTCTTTTTTTTTCAGGGAAACATTTAAGCTGCAGTTTGCAAACACTTCCCAGTACACTAACTCAACTACTTGCACCTAATAATAAAGCAATCTCCAAAACACACTGCGAGCCAAATCCTCCTCCTTTTCTTTAAGTAGAGGTGTCATTATTTCATGTTTGCATTCATTGCGTATAAATGAAGCCCCGAAGAACAGACAGGAGAATATATAATGAAACAGAACGACGTCCTGCAGAACTGGAGTGGGAAATCCCACAGCTGAAATCCTCTCTCCTATTTAAATGAAAGGCAAAAGCACCACTGCCCCCAAGGAGCCAGGAGTCACCCCGGCACTTTGGGAGACAGCAGCACACAGGGAGGCTGGGAAGAGTTCAGGGTATCAAATGAAGCAGAGCAGAGACACGAGAGGAACAAAGGAAGTTCACGTCGTTATAATTTATTGATGATCTTGGCCTGATTGCTTCAGTGTTTTGTCTCAGCGGAGCGCACTGCTCAGCACTGAGTCCTGCAGGTCACTCAGTCGTACTGAGGTGGAAACGATGCGACGGCTTACAGACAAGTTTGACTTACAAGAAAATAAATAAAATAACCACCAGGATGGGACTCAGCCTCACCCAAGCACTTGCTGAGAAGCAGCCAGGATCTCCTGACCTCACTCCCAGCAGAGTGGAGCTCCAGGAATTCCCTCCCCATAGCTCACATTTTTCCAGCTCTACCAATTCACCCAGCGAGTGCCATGGGAAATCACTACGGCTCAGGCATCCAAACTTGCTTAAGAATGAGCCAAACCGATTCTTTTCTTCAAGGAGGAGGGTCTTAAGGAAAATAAAATGCTGGGGGTTCTTTGTCCCTGTATCTTGGATACGGAAAAACTCCCACGCTTGTCAGAAATAAGAGCAGCACCAGCAGCCCATGGCTTTCTCTTTTTCTTACTCTTTTTTATTTCCTTCCCTCCAGCGTATGCAAGTGCGTACCTTAAAGCTGGATGACACAGTGATGGGTTTAAGAGACAGTGAGTGTTGAGATGCCAGTTTCTAGTGTAATACAGCTTTCTTTCTTCTGTGAACATGGGTGAAAAATCAAAAGAAATAATCCAGTAGGCTGAATGCACTCCCTGGCCATTCAGCACGCTCATAAATATGCCCAGCGAGACGCTTTGTGTTAAAAACTTCTATTCTGCATTTTGTTTAACTGTGAGTCAAATCTTCCATCCCCATCTTCTGCCTGCACTCCTCGCAGTTAGTGGGGCTGCATTCCCACCCTACTCCCCATCAGTTTTAGGCCAATGGCTTACATTTGAAAACTAGCAGGTTCTCATTGTTTTTCTATTGATTTTTCTCCCACCTTCCAGCCAAATGCCCTCTCACTGGTTGCCTCTTGGCAGAAAATAAGCTGCTGTTACAGTAAGCAACTCCCAAACAAAGAGTTCTAACTAGATTCGCCCTTTGGCACTAGCTCACCATTCAACAGAACTTAGGAGAAAGCCTGCCATTTCCTGTGCACAGCTAGCACTGCAGAATAAAGCAAATTTGGAAATGAAATTAACTACATATAAGCTGTCATTTCCTTTTTAAGGCTGGAGGAGCCCTGGAGACCATCAGCTACTGACAAGAAGGGGACCCTCCAGGTCCAAGCTGGATGCACAGACACTCAGGAACAAGCAGACCTTTGTTATCACCACTCACACCAACACACACGCAGATGTCACCGGGATGAGCAGCCTTTGCCCACAAGGGACACTGTCTGCACGCCGGCCAGTTCATTCCTAAAGAAATACATGCATGAGCACATTGCATATAGCACATCACCCTGAGGACGGCTGAAATAATTCCTTCCACGCCTGTATAGACCCTCTGGTGCAGGGTGGGATGCAGCTGCCTTAGCTCCTTCTCGCAGCCACACATAGAAGGGCTGAAGGTATCGAGAGGTTTCGGCATAGAGGAAGTTTTGGTTTGGTTTTGAGCATCGCCACCAAACCTGCGGGGACTCCTTTGATGGACAGATTTTCTTTAGTTGTATTTGATAAACACGAACTTATAAACTGAGGAGTTGCAAAGGAAAGAAAAAGAAAAGGAACAAAAGCATAACGACCAGATTTCTCCGAGTTTTAAGAACGAGCAGAGCAACTCACCCAGCAGTGCAGCCCCACCGCGAAACGAAGTTGTGGAGGGACAGTCCCGGAGCTCCTCCGGCCCCGAAGCACAGCGGGCTCCGCTCCGGCCCGGCAGCCCCATCCCCATCCCGGGCAGCACCCCGGAGCTCGGAGAGCCGGCACTTACCAGCTGCAAAGTGCAGAGGAAAATCAAGGTGCAGCGTCCGGTGCAGCATCCCATGGTCCCCGAGTGCGCCGGGGCAGGCAGCGGGATAGGGACAGCGGGGACAGGGACAGCGGGGACAGGGACAGCGGGGACAGGGACAGCGGGGACAGAGCACCCGGCTCACCGCAGCCCCGGGGCTCTCCCCGCCAGCAGCACGGAGCGCAGCTGCCGCTCGCCGCCGCCGGGAGCGAGGCGGGCGGGGAGGGAGGAGGGAGGAGGGACGGAGGTCGCGGCGGCTGCAGGAGCCCCTCCGGGAGTCGGGGAGGAGGCAGTGGGGCCACAGCTTAAAAGGGCAATGCTCCGCCGGACGTTCCCGTCCCGCAGGCTGAGGCGGTTGGGATGAGCCCCGTCAGCCCCTCTGGGATGTTCCCGGCCCCCCCCCCGGGCACGGCCCGCCCCCGGGAGGCTGAGCCAGGCTGTACCAGTTTATTTATTTTCTAGAGATGGGAGACCCTGCTGCTGGCCGAGGGTGTGCCAGCACTCCGTGGATCGGGCATGGAGACTATAGGGCATCTCAGGCGACAGGAACCGGGACACAGATGCTGGCTTACTCACCCTAGAGTCTTCATGCCGAGGATTAACCTGAAATACAATAGCTGTTTCCATAAACTTTGTCAGTTAAAGTGCACATGGAAGACAAACGCAGGGGGATAAGTCTGAAAATCACTAAAATGCACATTTGTGAGTGTCTTAAATTGCCAGGATTTGTATGTCACACACAACACACAGACCACATCACACCTCAGCAGTCCCATAAGTGTGTAGGGGAGCAACTCCTGTGGAGAGTTCCACAAGAGCACCATCTAAGAACCACCCACCATACCATGCATCTGCATCAAAGCAGGTCCGTCTGCTTCAATTGCAAATGGCAAAGATATCCGGGAGCACCAAGCACCTCTATCAGAGCACTGAGCCCTCCACGTTGCCTCCTGCCCAGAGGAGTGGAAGCAGAGAGCTTCTGTCACCTCTCCCTGCTTTTGCTCAGCCCAAGCAGCAGGTAACACACAGACATGCCAGGATGGGGATGCACTTATAGCTAAGCTCCACCAGAGTGGGATAATTAGCTTTTGGAGAGGCACATCTGATGACAGTGTCATCTCTTTGCAATCTCCATGGCTGCATGATAAAGTTTGCTTTGCTCTCAAGAAAGTCAGGGCTCCATTCCTGCCTCTAAAGCAGTGTGACTTTGGGACTGTGAGTGATCAGCCCCACTGCCCTCTAAATACTCATACCAAGTTGCTTTTTGCAGTGGTGGATATGGAGATGGAGATGGCAGCTGAAATGACAGAGGCTCTATCATTTTAATCAAGGAAGGCATTGCTTGATTATAACAGAATTATAACAGAAGCAGAGTTAGTCTTGAAGAGCTGTGAGTGTTTGAAACCTGGTAGTAACAAAGTTATTTTTATTCAAATCAGACACAGGGAGAAAAAGAACAAACAAAAACAAGCAGACTGTGAATACCTAAGGTTGGGAGCTGGACTCTGAAATGATCTCAAATCCTGTTTTTAAATGGTAAAGTGTATTGATTATCTGACCTGTGCACTGAGCAGAACCAGGGCAGCAATTAATGCAGTCAGATACAATAACAGACACTTTATTATGTGTGAAATGAATACACCCAGTGAAGAAACCAATTTACTTCACCCAGAAAAATGTGGTCTGAAGAAGCTTTGGCACTAATTGTATTCTCAGAACAGTGGATTTTGGATGGCAGAGGCAATAGGAACAAAGTCCAGTTTATTTTTTAGATGAACATAGAAGAAACACTCCTCACAAATTGCACAGGGAGGGCTCACTCTTATCTATGGGCTCAGGCAAGCTGACATCAGAGGGAGAAGAGGAGCCATGCACAGGCTGGGGTTGGGCTGTGGTGCAATGGGCTCTGCAAGCTGCTGGAGCAATGGGAGCAGGCAGGGATGCAGCTGTGCAGGTTGGTACCAGCCCTCAGGGCCATTGCTCAGAGTTTCCTGCATCTTTTGTTCCATCTCCTGCTTCTAACAGCCTCCCATAAGTGCAGCTATTTTCCAGCGCAGTTGTAGTACGAAGGAGATGCTGTGAGAAACAGCAAAAGGTGTCACTGCTGGAATTGCATTGGACACAAACAGGAGTTTTCCCCTTGCACTTTTTTCTTGATAAGCCAGGGAAAAGGCTGCTCTGTGCTGGCTGAGCCCTGCATGCATCTGAAGGAGAACACACAAATCTTTTTTGCCTGTTTAGAAGGGTAAACACGTTATAATGCAACTGTATCACAAAGAGAGACTTAAAACTCCTACAGCCTGGTGGTGTAATCTTAACTTACATGATTTCTTGGCATGGCATGGAGCCCTCACACAGAAGCATTTGTCCTTAAATATCCAAGTGGCCTCGCTGGCTTTAGTGCAGCTGTTCCCATGCCAGTGTTTGGATGCTTGCTCCAGTGCCATGCTCTTCAGCATCTTCTGTCTATGGACAGCAGAGGAGATGCACGCAGCCTGAGCACCCCGACAGCAGGGCTGGGCTTTGGGTTACTCTTTGCAAGCCAGTTAAAAAGCATCCTGTGGACTCCTGGAAAATTCCTTATTTCAATGTGAATAAATATTAACTGAGCTGAATTTGGACCTAAGACCAAATAATAATAATAATGGATCTTCATTAGGTAGTATATTGAATTAGCAAGTGGATTAACGAGGCGTCATTGGATGGAGCAGTCCAGAGGCTGCCAAACACAATGTCAACACCAATGTGCACTGTGCCACCAGTGATGTGCTATGGGCCACCACAAAGGGCTGCTTGAAAGCCACAGGGAATGATCCTCAGCTACAAACGCTGTTCCAGAGACCCCTAGCCACGGTGCCACATCCAAAGGCAGCACATGCCTGTCCCTGTGTTGTGTGCTCCCCTGCTCAGGACAGCCTTTCCAAGGTGGCACGTCACATCCTATTCTTCTGTCACACATTGGAAGTAAAGCTCACTGCCAGTCCTCTGATTGATGGCTCCTTTCCATTGTGCACATCACAGTTTGACAGAGGAACGTGTTCAGCATGATAGGTTGGGAGCCCTTATGTAAGAATTGGGCGAGCTGCTCCAGGACACTGTGGACATTCAGAATGAATGGATGAGGGCCAATCCTGGGGAATATGTTGGATGCTGTGACAGCATCTCACTCATGGTGACCAGACGTGCCACCACTCCAGAAACTGGGCTTTGTGTTGTTCCACAGAAGACTGTTTTACATAGGAAAGGATAACTGAGCTAGCTAGAAAGGGAGAGAGATTATGTAATAAAGGGCAAAGACTTTTGATCTTCTACTTTTAAACTTGTAATGTCTTAAAGCTCTCATTACCTGGGATAATGTCCAGGGAGCTGCTCTGGGATGGAGGCCAGCTGCAGCCAATGCTACCAAAGGAGAAGAAAGCTTAAGAGTGGTGGCAAATGCTTTGTAGAAAATGAGACAGACCTGTGACAGCAAAGCACAGTGTTTTAAAAATCGTCCTCATTAGAAAGGAAACAATCCCAATGACTTCCATGCTTCAAAATAGGTTCCCAACAGCCAAGGGTGATCTGTAAGTTTTATCACAACTGGTGTGTGAATTCTGTTGTTTTCTTTCTGATCCCCGTGAAACCTTTGCTGCTGGGAGGGGACAGCTTCTAATCAGCTTCTATGGCATTTCAACACCTCATTTTGCATCTGTAATTCCCTAACATTACCTTGCTGAGCCACACAGCGCATTTCCATCACTGTTTGAAGAAGAAGTGGAGGATGGCAGAGGTGGAAGGAGGATTCAGAGCACACAGCGAGGTCAGCGCTTTGCCCACACCCACCCCATGCACATCCTTTCTTCACAGCAAGGGCTTGCATGAAGGAAACACGACTGGTATCACACTGAGATGCATTTTTCCTCCTTGGGATTGCACACCCACATTCCCAAAGGAATGGCCTGAAGCAGAGAGGAGGGAGTGCCCAAAGGGTTAATTCCCATTGGAGAAGCAAGCTGTGGCAGCTGACATCGCTGCCCTGCAATCTGAGTCCTTGGCATGATTGCAGCCACATTTCCAGCTGCAATTTCATGAGGCGGTGTGACCAAGAAGTAACTCAATGCAGCTGCTAAAATCCACGGGTATTGACACCAAGTGATCGCCCGAGGCTGCCATGCAACAGTTGCATTTCTCAAATGATAGGACACAAAGAAGAGCCAGAAGGGTGAGAGCAGGCCCTGATTTGGGGCAGCCATGTGGGAGCTCTCTTGTAGACAAGCAGCTTCCCTTGTCTGCTTAGGAATCAGTGGCAAACTTTCCCTAGCCAATTAAACACATGTACATGGGACAGAGCTGCTTTCCTGCCCTGTGTCAGCTATACTTGTTCCAGCACCAGCAACTAACACCTAAGAAAGACCTAGAAATGTGTGTAGGCAGAAGGTCTAGTGAGGCTTTCCAAACACAAGTTGCTGCTGCAGCTTTCCTTTGGCTCCAGCTATGAAGTGTCACTGCAGGAACACCAAGGATGCCTCAGTGCCATACTGATGGTGCAAACACACACACCAACATGCACTCTTAGCTCCATGCACTCCAAGCTCCATGCACTCCAAGCTGCATTTCCACAGCCAGTAGCAATAGCCATTGTTGCTTGGTGAGGCTGCTGTGTTTTGGCTGCCAAGTGCAATGAATAGCAATAATTCTGAATGCTATAATTAATAACATGTAAATGTTGTTTGATATTAAATAATTTTAAAAGGCAGTAAATAATGATAATAATACAAAATCAATGTTTGAGAAGAACTGATGTTCCATCCCATGGCAGGAAATATTCCTTAGAATCAGAGAAACCACCAAGTTGGAGAAGACTTACTTATCTCAATGTGTGAGTGGGAACAAGCTCCTACCAGGACCTATAAAAACAAGACACCCCCTAAAGTCACACAAGCTTCTCAAACTCATCCCTTTAAAAAAGTAACCCAGACAGATATGGTTTCCTAACCCTGCCAAATGCTGCCAGTACTGAGCACTGTACTGATCCAACAGGGGTGTCACTGAACAAGTCAACTTAGAGATGCTACGGATACTACGTTTTGTAGCCAAGTAAAATTAATTCTATCTGAAAAACCTCGGCATGGAAGAGACCATCCTTGCCTTCTGTTTTCTTATGTTATCCTATAATTTGTTCCTTGCTGCATTTCGTATGTGGGTGACTCAGGACGTAACAATTACAGCAATGGCAACTGTGCAAAAAACATGAGGAATTTCATGATAGAACCAATTCATAACTAGAGAAAGGGATGAGCTGGGAATACGGTGAAGGATGCCTTTGTAAATATTATTAGTATGGCATTCTATATTATCTTATAATAGGTATTTGCCACAGATTGCA